CTCCCTGTCCTTTAGTGTAAAGCATAAGACATATTTCAGCTCAGCTATGTGATCACAATTAGTATTATGAATTAGAGAGATCAGACTAGCCACTATTAAGGGATTAAGGACTAAGTCATTAGTGAACAGTTCTCTTTTTAAGAGAAGCAATAAGTATAAGCTTACTTTTCAGCGATTTTGGAACAGTACCACTGACTCTAGTCTAGAGGCAGGGAGACCAGGACCCTAGAGCTTCGAGTGTGGGTGGTAAGAGCACTGGCCCCACCCTCTCAAAAATCACTGCAGCTGAAAGTCTGGGATGGATGAAATACTTTCTCAGCTCATCTGGCTTTCCCTGAAGAGCAGCTGCTTTGATATGTCTGCAAGACTTGGAGTGTAGAGCCTGGGACCAGGAAAGTGCTCCATGAAATGTGCTGTGCACGGTTTAAGCACTAGAAAACCCTGACACAGGGACAGGACTTGGCATCCACTCCTATGGAATAATGTAATATTCTGAGCTGGTGGCTGCTAATTGCAACTCAAATTCAAACTAGAGGAAAGAAAGAGATTTTGTAGCCTCTTCCATATTTTCTGGACACTTGTAAATCCCGTATGTCTGAAAAGGAAGAATAATGTTTAGGGGGGAAAAATCAGATAATTAGAGTTTTAGAGTTTGATTGGAACCCACTGGCTCTTATTAGGATCTATCTAAATTCATTCCTTGCCCACATTTCCTGGTGTGGTAAACAAGTGTTTCATGAATAAATGATTCAAAAATTAAAATAACTGCAAAGCATTGGGTGAAAAAAAGCTTTATTTTTTTTTCTCTACATTATCTATCTCCCCAAAGTTACATAAGAGATGGGTCTTTTGTGGAGAATCTAATTAGATTAAATTTCACAAGATACATTTGTAGGAATTATCAGAAAGTACAGGAAAATTTAACATACTTTAAAAGACTTCCAGCCATTTAAAGAAAAAAATACACAGCATCATCAATTCATCATCAGTATCATTATCAACTGATCTTAAGGACTTCACTTTGCAGGCTTCCATCAGCCTAAAATACACTAATGAGGTATTAATCATTTTCATCCATGTAAACTCACTTTCTGGTACAATGACATCACTTTAAGATGGCCTTTCTTTCACTTCTTCCATCAGCAGGGACAGGTTAAAACATGTCAAGGCCTCTTTGAACTTGTAACAGGCCCTATAGCCTACCCTACACATAAATTTTTGTAGAACACAATAAAAAAACAAGACAAGCATCCCTGGGTTGAGCTCACTCAGGTGCCCCAGGAGAGAACCAGCCAGTGTCTCCCGAGATCCGCGCCATATTGGAACTTAGGGTCCTGGGAAAGAAAGCAACCCACTGCCATCCCCAGTAAGCAGCCGTGAGCCTACAGGCACATAGGCTGAAAATCAAACCTCCCATCCTCCCCTCCCACCCCCCGTTAGCAAATGGGAGCCAGAGGTCTGAGCATCTCTTGGGAGGTTGACCGTATGCAATATAGCAAATATGGGGGATTTCCTTCTACCATCTCTTTGAAGGCAAATATTGTTATCACTATTTTTCTTTGTTCTGCTTAATTGTATTTCTCTATTCAATATTCTATTTTGATAAGTTCTATAATGCTCTGTATTTGGTTTGATTTTGCTATACCTGATTGAAAGGAAGCTACTGTGAAGACAATGAGATATACTATGGTACCTATTACTGATATCTCTGTAACCTGCTAGATGTTCTGTACCAATTTCACTGCATTGTCTCAATTAGCTTTGTTCTGTCTTGTTCTGTTGTATTTTATTATCTTCAAAATAATAAAAAAATTAATATAAATAAATAAATGACACAGGGATAGAATGTCTAACAAATTCAGATAGAAACCCAACTAATTAATGGCATGCTCTGCTAAAAGCAGCAGCATCAGAGTGCATACATGTAAATAAAATAAGAAGACAGAGCAGTAAAAAATATATCAGGATTAAGAACCAGAAAAATTTCACAACTAATAAACACAATTTTGTATCCTTGTAATGATACCAGCATTATTTTTTAATGTAACAGAGTACTTTGGCATGCATTCCCTTATTTGCTTCTCACAGTAATTCTGTGTAGGAGGCAGAGATGGTATAATTGTTCCCTTTTGGTGCAGTCATTACTTTATCAAGTAAGCAGCTGCATGATCCTGGGAACAGGGCAAGGCTCTGAAGAGTCAAGAGTGGACAGACTCGGTCTGGTCCTCACAGAGTCTGATGTGGAAGACAGATGTGCGGTGAGTAATTCCAGGCCTCAGAAGGTTATAAGAGGGTCAGTGTAGACTGCAAATAAGAAAACAGAATCTCGAAGGAGTTAAGTGATTTATGTAGGGTCATATGACATCTGTGTGAAAGTAAAAGCTTAAAATGAATTTATTTAGGCTAATAAAAATACATATACATATTACCAGCACACAGTGATAGCATTTAAATATCAGAAGGCATGTGATGCAGGAGAAGGAAAGCCCTTCAAAGAGCACGGAGGAGCTAAAGAGTGTAAGAGACATCCCCGGGGCCCTTTAAGGCACATACGCCTGGCAAGCTTTGAATAAAGATGCTCAGGTAGCAGTAAGAGGACTGAATCTCCACTGGGCCACCCACACACACGTCAGGAGACATGATAAGAGTTTCAGGTATGAATTCTGGGTCAGATTAGCATGGTTGATAGCAATTCCCTTCATCCTTACAACCAACACTCCTCATGAGAAGGGCTCCCTGGGACAAGTTTTCAAATCTTTCTGAGCATCAATTGCCTCTTCTGCACATGGGGGACAATAACAATACGTATCTGAAGTGCTGGCTGTAGAATTCAGTAAGGTAGTATGTGTAACCTATTTTGCTGATTGTCTAGCATATGAAATGCAGTAAATAGTAAATGAATGGTCAGTGGACAAATGAGAATGTGTAAAGTACTCAAGAAATTCCACTAGCAGTAGCAGTCGTGGAAGCAGCCCAGCTAACATCACCAACTCACGTGTGCAGCCAAGGAACCATGAAAGATGTGTGAGTGTACTATTTCTTCAGTGGGGTTTGCAGGCAGATGTGTTTCTACGGTGGTCAGGGAGACGATGTGATCAACATTCGTGCTGGCTAAAAGTTTGAACCAAATGTTCTCAAAAACCTTTTCCAATGCTTAAATTCCAAGAGAATAAGTGTCAAATGGGCTGATTGTAGAATTCAGGAAGTTTCTACCCCTTCGGGGCAGCAAGAAAGGTCATGGATGGAAATGAAAAGCCCTTTCCTAAACCCTACTCTATTTGTTTATCACAAAATAAGAGGTCTTTGTTTTTGTTCCTTTCTCTAAAAGAACATGAGATATTGCCTCTAAAACTCCCAGGATTCACATGCGAGATTTCTTTTGCCGATTTTTCTCCAAGTCCTCCCGAACAAATACCCCTGAGAATTGTAAGAACCGTTGGAATATGAATTACAGTCTTTTACAATATTTGGTTTGCTTCCAGTTATGCTTTGGGTCTTCAACTGCAATGTAGAAAGCAGAAACTTCATTTCTCCTGCTCTGTAACAAATAGATTTTCAGATTGTGCCATCTGCTGGTCAAACTTAAAAACCAAAACTAATAAACTGCTTATTCTGAGCAGAGAGGAGCTAGGTGCATTAGGGAAGGGGGCAGGAAATGTCGTGTGTCCCCAGACTTTAATCCAAGCCTCTTGGGAGGTAGCAACTTGAATTCCATTCCAATCAAACCATGGGACAATTTCAAAAGTTCATTTTTGATTTGTTTAGAAACACATGTTTCTGTTAAAGAACAGTTAGTCTTTTTGCTCAGAGGTAGATTCAGTCTCTAGAATGAAGACTCAAAAGGGGACTTTCCTCAAGTCCTCTCAGTTGCCACCTCATTGATGTTAAGTCATTTATTTTTTCACTGTCCGAATACACATAAAACTACTTTTGTGACTTGTATAAAGAAGATTGAGTAAGAGAATCAAGATTCAAAATCTGAAATACCCAATCCATTTATTATGAGGAACGTTTGACCAAGAACAGATACAAGGGGGCCATTTCAGAGAAACCCCTTTATTTATTGACACAGCCTGTGGACACAAACCCCTTAGGTGGAACCCCTTTATTCTAGTTTGTTTTCCATTGTCATAACAAAATACTTGAGCCTGGATAATTTATAAATAATATGTGTTAACTTAGCTCAGAGTTCTGGAAAACAGGAAGTTTAAGAACATGGCTCTGGCATCTATTCAGTAACCGGTGGGAGTCTTCATGTTGCAGTATAACATGCCCAAGAGCATGATGACAAAACACAGCAAGTGTTCTAAAGAGAACTTGATCTCATAGCAAAGCCATTCCCATCATAACCAGTGAACTGATAAATGGATTAATCTTTTTATTAGGGCAAAGCTGGCATGATCCAATCACCTTGTAAAGGTCCCACTTTTCAGTATTGCTGGCATGGGGACCAACTTTCCAACAATGAAACTGAAGAGAAGCAGATTAAAGCTGTAGTAGGACACATGAAATAAAGTGAGGTAAATAGGAGGGAAGTTGAGATCTTAAAACTGCACTTTAAAACAAAAAAACTGCAACTTCAACAGGTTTTTTTCCTGCTTCTGGAGGCCAACTTAGAATGGGATCCCCCTTCTTTTATCCTTTCAAAGAACAGTATTACATTCCTGAAAGCCCTTTCCAATAAGTGGATACTAGACCCTTTTCTCCTGCAAACTGCCCTTTCCTCCAGCCCAGACAGTGTCTACATGAGAAACATCATGGCTTAACTTCAAACAGTGGATCTCCACTTCAAACCCATGTAGATGCCTTGCACTGTAGCCTGGCAGACAGTGAGAATACACATCCCAGATCACACATCTTGAAGACAACCTTTAAATGTGCCCTACTCTGGCTTGTAACTACCTCCTTTCTCTGAGCACCTGCCCTGTGCTCTTGAGGGCATCCTGTATCGGCCTCTAATAAATCTTTCTTATGTCTCTTGTACTGATGCTTCATGAAGATTCTTTTTCCAAGACAAGAGTCAAAAAACCTGAAAATCTATTTTACAAGTGTGGATTAAGTTCCTTACTTCAGCCTCTAGGATTCTCAGACCCAACTAGGTGACAAAACCACCAGACATTTTTTTAAACAAAGGAACCACTAGGATTTCTTTCATGCCTCTGCTTTAATCTCTCCAAACTGAAGATTGAACCCAGGAGGGTGAGTCCTACAGTACCAGCTAAAGGGTTCAAACTCCTTCAGGAGCTTCAGCTTTATTCCAGCTGTGGAGCCCCCAGAGCCCTAAAAACCCACTATGTATACAATGCTCTTTGCTGTAAAAAAGCAAAGAATGATCAAATCTACTTCCTTCTTTCCTGGGATTGGCCACTTTCACCAGAATAAAATTTACTGGTATTTTTAAAATCTAAAACAGATGGTGGTTGTCAGGCTCACTTACAGCTGACACAAAAAAGTGATGACTTTCAAATAGCTGTGACACCGCTGCTCTGGTAGGCTTCTGTGGGTACAGAGCTGACACAAAACATATGCTTCCACATACAACTAGTTTATCTAGAAAACTGATAAGCTAGTTTCTAGACTAGTTTCTGAACTAGAAACTGATAAAATAGTTTCTAGAAATATTAAATAGTCCCCAAAGTAACAGTAAAACAGTGGTATAAATTAGTTATTCTCTAGGAAACATATCTACATAAATATATTTAAAAGGATTATAATGACTCTAACTGTTTAAGGAAGATACCTAGAAAGGAGACTAACTGGGTCAAATGGAATTTCCAGTTTTAGGTTTTTGAGAAATCTCCACACCGACAAGATGTATTATGGACATATACCAATTCCCCACAATAAATGCAATCATTATGTACTGCATTATATACTAATAAAAATCAAATTAAATTTTAAAATTAAATTAAATTAAAAATAGAAGGAAAAAGGATCATGAGCTGAACACATATCCACACATACTCGCTTTGGCAGCACATGTACTAAAATTGAAAACACATTCACATATAGGCTTAAGTAAGTCAATTCATTTTAGATGGATTCTTGAACAGGTCCATTTACTAGTTACAATGAAAACCTTAACCTCATGGACTGGTGCAGGGTGATAGATAGAATGCTTCCAGGAGGACTTGGTCTTAAGGCACAGGGTAAATAATACAGCTCTTCCCAAAGTGCTCCTCGGACACGAGCTGCTTAAGATAGCTGGTCAAAGGGAAGTCAAGCAAATCCTCTGGGTTACACCTTTCTTCCTGGAGATTCACAGTACATATGAGTCTATAAAGAAGCTGAGATGTTTAGAAGTAAAGGAAGATTTTTAACAGGTGGAATTTGCTTAACAGCAACATTTTCAAGTGTCATTGGCCAAGGAGTCCCTTTGTAGAGAAACATCAGATGAAGTATCCTAGAATTAGGCGCCAATACAGAATATATCATCAAAAAGTTGGTTTTTAAACAAGCAGGTACACAAGGGTAGTGCTGTTGATCTTGATGATTTTCCAGAGGCAGGAGAGATGAACTTCTGTGGCAGGACCCATGTGCCATTCCTGTGACGCAGAAAACAGCCCTGTGGCAGAAAAACAGAGAGTAGACTGAATCAATGGGTAAGTCCTCCAGCTGCAGAGGACCCACCTGAATCATTCTGCTAAATCTTTCTCCAGAATTATCCTCTGAATTGCTGGAAATGACAGTATGACCTGCTGTTATGACAACTGTAGCAACAACAAAATTACCTTCCCCATACATCATTTAGGAAATGAATCAACCAAGCTGAATTTAAAACCCTTGATTCTATCATGACCTCATCTCCACTAAACCTCACAGGATCCCTGCAATATGTATAATCCTTCCAAAAAGAATTTGATTTCCATTCTTCTAAAAAATGAGAATGCGTGGATGGAGGTACTTTGTAAAGTCCTCTCCAGGGTTCAGAGTTCCTAACACTCATGAACAGTCACAAAACTTTATTAATTTTCCTTTTTTGCTCTTTCCTAGAATTTTAAACTCCTAAGAGAACTTTTTACATAATTTCCATACCAAACATACCTACTTTTTATTTCTGGGCTACTGTCATAGAACATTCTCTTTCCTGGTTGAGGAGAGGTATTCATTGTAGGAATGAAACAATATCCAGAGATTCATAAATGGGTTTCTCAAATTGAAGCTTATTAAGAATGCAGCAAATCTCCCTGGAGAAACACAATTTGCATTGTCTCTCTAGAGTAGGTAATCATACACTTGCCCATTTCCACTTTTACTAGAACTTCATCTCTCACTGAGGACTTCTGTGCAAGAAATTGGTTTCCATTTATTTTGCTACTTCGTATAAAGCAAAAAGATTAAACATTTCCTTCTCTCATGCCCTGAAACCTATTCTCATGTTTTAGGTTTCTCAGTTTCTTACAGTTGCACTAAAAGACATAAATGACCTCTGAGAAGACTTGCCACATGCTGTTAGAAGCAGAGAAACCACCTCTTTTCTACCCTGGAAGCCTAGCCTGAAGTGCTATGTATAGGGAGCTGGTTCTGACTCAGAAGTGCTCAGTTCAATAAGGATTAGCGGGGAGCTGCATTTTTAACTCATGAAATGAATCTTAATTTCCACTGAAGAACATTTCCAATCCTTGTGCACTCTGAGAAAATCTGTGTGCAATCAGGCAGGAGTCTATGTCCCTCTTGCCCATGCAAAACAGAAAGTCATGTGATTTTTTTATCACAATTTATTACCACATGAGGAGAAGATAAACAAAATGAGCAAGATAAAAATTCAAATAATTTGCTTTGGACTCCCTGGGGGATGAGAAGAAGTCATTCCCATATGTAACTGAGTATCTTGTATCATTTATTGCATATTCCTCAGATACTTTCAGGCTTCCTCAGAGTTCTCTGCCAGTCTGTTTCTGGGGATTTGTATAAATTACAAATATTCTAAAGGTAAATACGTTTACTGCTTTAGCGCCTTTCTGATTGCTGAGACATAATGCTCAGTACTCACAACTTAATGGAGAGAGTTTTAATTTTGGCTCACAATTTTTAGAGGATTTATTTTATAGCCATCTCCAAGGCATAAAAGCCTGGGTGGAAGAAAATCTGCTCATCATGGCAACCAAGAAGTGGAAAACAAAGGGAAGAGCTTGGGAGGAAAATAAAGCCTTCCAGGTCCTGCCTGGGTGACTTACTTCAACCAGCACACCCCACACCCTGCAGCTGACATCATTAGCAGATGAATACATTGAAGAATGTAACACTCTCATGATCAAATTGCCTTCCAAAAAACCTGCCTCTGAGTTCATGAGAGTTTGAGGGGACGTTCTACATCTCAGCCATATTTTTCTGCTGCTGGTCCTCCAAAGATTCATGTGCATTTATTTTGGCAAAATGTATTCAGTACATGTCTAAAAATCATAAAATTCATAACAGTTCCAGTACTGCTGAAAAGTCCAACTCTAAATTCTCCTCTGACACTCCAGGCAAACTCTTGGTTGTAAGACCTACAAAAGCAGAAAATTCCAACATACAAAGGCGCAGGATAAACATTCCCATTCCAAAAAAGAGAAATAAGGGTATAGGCAGGAATAGGACCAAAGCAAGACTGAAAACCCACAGGGCAACATTAAACCTTACAGTTACATGCCCAGCACCTGGGACAAATTTTAGTGAAATGTGAGCTCTAAGAGGCTTGGTAGTCCTGCCACTAGAGCATTACTGGTGGCACCTTTCATGGCCTCTATCTCAATGTCCAAAGCTTTCATCCACAGGCATTCAGCTTCCTGGAGTCTCCACCTCACTTTCGGTTTCAATTCCAGAGCTTTGTACACTGCCTTTTCCCCTTTCAGAAGCAGGCTGCCTGGCCTCCTGGGTCTTCTTCTGAAATTTAGGTGGCTCCCTGAACCAATAACTCTTGCATTTTACAGGCCCACAGAACTAGTAGAACATGAATAATGCCACGATTTGTCACCCATTTTAGCAGTAATCAAATCCCTTTAGTCATGGCTGCAGAGGCCTCTGAGTGCCTGAATGGTTGAGCACAGTGAAAGAAATCTTAGAGAATCAACTCCATAGGCGGCCTTTTTCAAGCAGGAAGCTTCAAGGCTCTTTTTGGAAATGAAAGCTTTGCAGTTTCTTTGTTAGGTTAAACATGGCAATTCAGTGAAAGAATACAGCCAGCCTAAATCTGGGGATTCAGAGTGAGACTGCCCTGGAATACCTCTGAAGGAGGGTCTGACTCAAGTTTATTGAGTGAGGTTTTCATTGACAGGTTTGGGAGTTGGAAGCAAGGGATCAGTGGGGTGATCTCTTGCTTCTAAATAGCAATAGGTATGTGGCAACTAATGATACAGTAACAGCTAATGTTTTGTTGAGCCAGGTGTGCTGTGACTTAACGGGGCAGGCTAGGTGACAACAGAATGTAGGGGTATTATTTGGGGACTCAGACATTTAGGAACAGCCACTCTGGATACCATAGGGAGGCAAGGATTAAACCTATCAGTTCTCATGTTTTAAACATAATTAAATACAGAAAACAAAGTCAGAGGTCAGGTACAAAAGTATAAAATTTTCATCCTTTTGGTGCTGCTTCATCCTAAGCCAGGGCAAAATTGTGAAGTCGATAGAGATGGCTGGTAAGAATCAGGAGCCAGGGGTCAGTGATTATTTTGGGGAGCAAAGTTAAGGTTGAGATTCTAATTATTACATGAGAACAAGGATAAAGTGAGCAAATTTATGGAGAGAGAAAACCATGAGAACAATAGGTAGCTTTCTTTAAAAACCTCAGTCAGTCTTCAAGATTTAAGGACAGAAGCAAAATATACACAAATTTCCAGCCAGAGGATACAATTCTAACCAGAATTTCTCATTCATCATCGTGTACTCGGCTTACAGTATTCTATGGCTTCTCTAGCCCATGCCTCCAAACTTTCTCAAACTCTTCCTGCCAGCCAGTTCCAAAGGCTTCTGAACCACAAGTCAGGTTTTGTCGTGGCAATGGCCCCACTTCTCTAAAATCTATCCTACTCACTCATTTCTGGACAAAATGGCCAAGACCCGCAACTTACAGGAGAGGTTTATTTTGGCTAACAGGTTTTAGAGGATTCAGTCCGTACTCTGCTGACTCCAAGGCAGGATGGGCAAGATGAAAAGGCCAGGTAGACAAGAATTTGCTAACATCATGACAGCCAGGAAGAAGGAAGCGGAGAGACAGAGAAGGGAGAAGCCAAGAAAGAAAATATCTGTCTAGGTCATGCCCACCATGATGTGCCCCAGTGAGGCCCCAGTTCCCAATGGCACACTTAGCTGCTGAATTTATTAGTGGATGGCTTAGTTATTTTTCTTTTTGCTGAGACAAAATACCTGACTCCCAAAGTTAAAGGAAGAAGATTTATTTGGCTTAGTTTATAGAAGATTCAGTGCACAATCAGCTGGCTCCAAGACAGGATGGCACATGGCTCAGGGACAACAGCTCATGGCAGAAGGGAGTCAACAAAAGCAACAAAAGACCTTAACAGCATCTTTCTGCCCCTTTTACTTCATCCACACTACTTAAGGCAAGTAGCAATCCTAGTGCCCTCGAGCCAATTATTGTACTATGAATCAGTTCACACAGTCACACACTCCAGATCCACCTATGACTGAATGGGGCTTTGGGCAGGGGGACATCTAGACATAAATCATAATACTGGATTAATCCACCAATGATCCCCCGCAACTCAATCACCTTCCAAAGCTCCACTTCTGAGCACATGAGAGTGGGGGACATTCACCACAACACACATTAATTAGTGATAATAACAGCCTTCCTCTCCATTTCCTAGAGGAGCCCCACCTGCATCATTTTCCAAGTTTGGAGGTATGGTTTGCTTTTCTATTAGGATCAAAAAAAGAAACCCAGGTATCAGAAAATTGAGAGGATGCCCCAACACAGGACCTACACTATTTATCTAGAACTTTGTCCAAAATTTGTAGGAGGATTTATTTCCTCAGTCAGTGGGCCCTAAGCACAGGGATCACCACAGTTACTTCCCAGTAAGCCTAGCAATCAAACCCCGAGTTGATTGATATTCCAACAACAGCTTTGGAATATTTTTTTTTTTTTTTTTTTTTTACCCCAACAACAGCTTCCTTTGATTTGGTCAGCAGCGAGCAGAGGAACCTGAGCATGGAGCCTAAGGGTGCTGTTGACATGAAGAACTATGTGGAACCCTCAGCTGGATACACTTAGCCTGAGACAGAGATCGTGGTAGTTGCTTGGCCTTGGGAGAATCTGAATCCCCAACACTGGCCTTCTTTTCTACCCCACTGCCACCAAGCCCCATCCTCTGCTTTTATTCTGTCTCCATCTTTGTTAATATCAAATTTTGGCCCAGAAAGCTAAAGAAACAAATTCTACCAGTAATCAAGGATGTCATCAATGATGTCTTCTTCCCTAAAAATTTGCCATCTCAATACTGAACCCAAAAAGTTTTCAAAATTTATTTCCTCCTTGGATGTGGCTATTTTGCCTCATGAGTCCATTTGGAAAATTAAATATTTTAAACAAGGGGAAATATTGCCCTCTGCAGGATATATGAA